TTTTGTTTATTTCCTCAGTTTGAAATGAAATTCTCTCCTTGTGCATATGAAATAACCGTTGGCTGGTTGGTTATTTTTTGTCGCTGTTTTTGCTTCAGTTGTTGCTGTTGATGTTGTCTTAATTAGTATAACGGTCTTGTGGGTGATTCTAAGATGGACAATGCCACAGTCTCAGATTGCTTGATGTGGATTCGTTTTTATTTCCTCCAATTTGAAATGCAATTCTATCCTTGTGTTTTGAAAATATTCTATTTTCTCCAATCTACTGTCAGGGCTTTTTTCTTCTTCCGAGTATCTCGGTCTTTCTGCTAAAATCTGGATTACCTTTCAGCTTGGGTTGAGCTTCGCAGGTAGTGTCAAGGGTACCTACATGGTAAAAGAAATAACATGTTCTGCATTTAGTTTTAGTTTTAGTAAGGTCTCACGGCGCTCGCAACTGCAATAGGTTATATGAGCACCAAGGGGGGATGTCAACAGAGAAGTCCAAACGGGGAATCAGGCTTACTCTGCACACCTCTCTTGCCTCAACAGCACAAAGTCTGCTTCGACTGTCAAGGCACCCCGGAAATAGCTGTTCACAAGAGAGTGACACAAATACAAAAGAAGTAGCGGGAAAAGGACGATAATGAGGATGAAGGAAAACAAGCAGCAATTCCTTTTATGTTGTTCTGGCACAGTATGAGCATGACATTGATAAATCAACCCATGTATAGTTCTACTGTGCATAAGAACAAGTTAATATCCCCCCCCCCCTTTGTGAATGACCTAAAGACAACTTCAGTCAGCTGCATTTATTAAACAAACAAATGAGAAGCACACACCCAAGTAACGGTAAACAGTCACGGTCTTTCTTCTGGGATCTGTATTGCCTCTCGGCCCGTGTTGGGCGTCACAGATAGTGTCAGGAGTAACTACATGGTGACAGAAATTACTGCATTTGTGAAACAAACAAATAAGAACAGAATCACATAATAATATACATGTAATGGTAAACATAACCGTCGTTTCTCGGGTATTCAAAATACTTGCTGCTGGTATTCATTTGTTCCTACAATAGTTTTGATGAATTAAATGAAGCATCGTGGTGAAATTAGGCGCTCGTCAAAATGTTGAAATCGAAGAAACCGGCATTGTCCTGAAGCTTTTGGCAACTCTAATCGAATTTATTTTTTTTATTTATTTTTTTTT